GCCAGGCAAGGCCAGGCCAGCCCACCCCGACCCACCCCAGCCCAGGCCATGCCAGCCCAGCCCAGACCAGCTCAGCCCAGGCCAGCCCAGCACAGGCCAGGCCATCCCAGTCCAATCAGCCTGGGCCAGGCCAGCCCAGTCCTGCCAGGCCCATCCCAGGCCATCCCATCCTGGGACATCCCAGCCAGGCCATGCCAGGCCAGCCCAGGAAAGAACCTTTTCCTCTGGAGATATAAAGGACCTTTTCAAAAGTCAGCATTGATCGTGCACATAACTGTTCGTGATGCCCAGCCATGCTCACCTTATGGTTTGCTGGTATATGCTCCCCAAGTCTCTCCTGAGCATCAGACCTTTCCAGACTATTTTCTTGTTATTAGTTTTGCTAAGTTACTGGCTTCAGCCTGCCTCGTAGGTTTTTTTTTTGTTTGTTTGTTTGATCTTTTTTTTTTTTGAATAACTTTTTAACCTGGCATTAATACTACTGCTGCTGAAGGGCCAGCTTCTGGACATTCATTTCTGTCTCCTTCCTTGTGCCCATGCTAGCACTTCTGTACCTTGCAATGAACTGCAACGAGGAACTGATTATTCTGTCCATGATTAGTACTACCAACCTGAAGGATACTTTGGGAGCAAATAGCTATGAACATGTGGAATGGTGAGACTCATCCCTTTTGAACAGCATAGATTTTTGTTGTGTATACCTATAGCTTATGACTGGAAGCTGTGCTGTTGAGAGCAGCATTGGATAAATGCCCTGCTAGCATCTTAGGGGAAATCAGTATTTGTGAATCACCAAGGTGACATACATAGAATGCTGCAACAAGGAACAAGTTCAGGGGAAGTCACTGCAAAGGCAGTAATATTTCAGAATTTCTACTAACTGGTCTGACCACAGATGTAAGCAATGACACCCTTGAAAAACAGCTGTAAACAGTTCTCTCATAATCCGCAGGTTTTGGTGATGTGGTCTGTAGTTGTTTGTTGTGTGGACTCTCACATGTTATTCCCTCAAATTTAGTAGGTTGTCTTTCTGAGGGTCACTTTAGTAGTCTTCCTGTACTAGCCAAAATCATGATCCTATTGCTCTCTAGGTTCAGATATTCTAGGAAGAAAAATGAATAATGCAAGGCATATTACATGGATGTAATTGCATTATGAATGGAGCAAGAGCTTTTAAACCTTTAAACTTTGGAAGCTGTTCTGTACAGTTCTGCCTGAGGAAGGATCCTGTGCAAGCAGAACTGCCCTGCTGTGAGGATACCTGTCACAGAAGGATGTCCTGAGAACACAAATTACAGATGGGGGTTTCCTATATGAAGTGTCATGTGCAGATTGTGCATGTCCCCCGGAGCAGGGGTTTGACAAAGCACACTCATGTCTCCACACAATGATCCAGGAGTGCCACTTTCTCAAAGCTCTCTCAAGAAATACAGCATCTGGCAAGGCTAACACTTCTGGCTTAGATTTTTCATTTTAAAAGAAAGAGCATAAACAGGAGTAAGTGGAAGGAGGAGACTTTGGAATTATTGTTGGCTACTGGTTTCCTGTATCCAGCACGTCCTTTTTTTCTAATGTGTTTGTTGTGGGAGAACAAGGAAGTTTTACTAGTAGTTTATTGAGACAGTGACTATTTCTGAATAAATTATTTAGTGTTTGAAAACATTTGCAGAGAATTTTGACTTTGTGGCTGGATGATGATAATGATGATGATTATTACATGGACAATGTGGGTTAATTGAACCACAATGAAGATAATAGCAGTGACTAGCCAGTATATCTGGAACACGCACAGTAGCCTACTTAACATCTGCAATTGTATGCAGATTGATTCTTCCTATAGAATAGGTTAATTTAAAAGGTTTGAAAGAGGACTTGGAGTCTGGACCTTCTAGCTGACTCCAGAGTCAACCATTTGTCACTTCTTTGCTTTTAGATTTAGATGAAATGTAGTTTAAAAAAAAAAAAAAAGTGCTTAAATTGGAATATTTCAAATAGCAAGTTGGTGATCTGTTTTGGTCAGAATTTGGGCTGGTCAAATATGTCAATAATCTTATATAGATTACTGTTTAATAGCAGCACCTGCAGAACAATATCTTCAGGAGAAGTTGCCAGATGAAGTGGTTCTAAAGATCTTCTCCTACCTGCTGGAGCAGGATCTCTGTAGAGCAGCTTGTGTGTGTAAGTGCTTCAGCGAGCTAGCTAATGATCCACTTTTGTGGTAAGTGAAAAGCTATTCCTTATCATCTTGTGAAATATTATATGTGCTGCACAAGATGCCAGTACAATACAAAAAAACTGAAATGTTGGCTGCAATTAGTTGAATTAAAACCAATTGTATTTTAATATGTTTGTTTTACTTCAGCATTATTTGTTACTTATGAATATCTGATTGTTAAACAGTAAAACTTCTGATTCCCTAGTAGTGTAGATACTAGTTAAATAATAGCTGTTTTAAAAAATCAGTGAGGTATTCCTTCAATAGCCACTTCTTTGCTTTTTGTCCTCTTTAACTTTTTTCAGGTTTCTGTAGGGATTGTGTTACTTGATGCAAAAGAAACAACAGGTTTCTTAATGTTAGATGGAAGTTTTGTCTAGTGTTACTTATATTTTGTTGGTTGGTTGGTTTGATTTTTGCTTGCTCTATTTAATGGTTGGATACTTAAGCTGTTTTTTCCCCATATGAATGCACTGTAGTTTTTTATAAGGGAAAAAACCCCATACGTTTCTTAGGCTGGTTTTGGTTTTTTTGTTTTGTTTTGTTCTGTGTGGGTTTGTTTTTTTTTTTTAATAAACATTGAGATTAAAAGTAAAAGAATAAAATTTGACCATAGCATCACAAAAATGCCTTCCCCCTGCCCCCAACAGTTTTGGAACATCTTGTCAGGTGAATTACAGCTTCTGAGATTCAGTGGCATCCTGTAAGTTTGAGCTTAATACCAGCAGTCTCAGACACTGCAATTATTTGTATCCTGGCACTAATCAAAAGAATCCAATTGTTGTGTGCTTCATGTGCTACTTTCTTCTTTTTAAGCCACTGTAGTCTGTCCACTGATGAACTCTCTTTGAAACACAGTGCATCGTTTGTTCCCTGTGAATTCATTTTTCAGCCTTTTTTTTTGGCAAGATGAGGAAGAGGTGGTGGCACGCTTTGTCTTAAGTTTTATTATTCTAATGCTACTAGCTTTTGTGAGTGTTAAAGCAATGCAGTAGTTGATATACAATTAGACTCTGATTCCACGAACAGTGTAACTAACTACTTAAATTTCTTCATGGAAATTGCATGTTGAGAACTCTTGGATCATGGAACACATGTCAAAACTTTTCTTAGAAGAACACACACATCAGTCCAATAGAAATATTGTTTTGAAAGTGTTTTAAAGTGGCTGGTACTGATCTTGGTCAAATTAACTGTCACAGACTGGCAAATGCTGTTGGAAAAACCCTAGTCTTTAACATTTGGTGTGTTCTATTAAAATGGAAGAGTAGTCAGAAATACATTAATTTTCTTTTCTGCTTGACACTTCTGCTCAGGAAAAGATTGTATATGGAAGTATTTGAGTACACTCGTCCAGTGATGCATCCTGAACCTGGTAAATTTTATCAGATAAATCCAGAAGAATATGAACATCTGAATCCCTGGAAAGAAAGCTTTCAGCAACTGGTAACAGTAGTATTTCTTTATATTCCATTGTAAAGATGGTTTACAAAAGTAAAAAGCCCAACTTCTGAAATGTGGCTGACAATAGCAACTAGTTAGGCTTTAGACTTCAAATAAGGTGATGGGACTGATGAGGTGGGAGGAGATCCTTGTATTGTGTCATGCAGTAGGGGGATGTCTAAAGTTATTTCCTATTTTGAGGCACATCTTAGGGAGACATATCATAGTAAAGTGGAGTGCTTGCGCATCCAGCTCTTCTATCTTGGGTTTTCCTCATGTTTTGCATCACTGAAATTCTGTGGAAGAGAATGTCATGGTCTGTGACTCACAAATAAACTTCAAATGTATTATTGTTGTCATATATTATGAAACCAGTGTGTATGCTGGTTATCAGGTTTGTATGAATCTTCCTCTAGTAAACCAAACAGTAATTGATAATATGACGTGGACTTAAATAGTGATTTACAGCTGACGTGGCTGGAACTAAACAAGTTACTCCTAAGGCATGTGATTGAACCTCTAATCCAAAATGTCAAAGGTATTGTAAGAATGACTGGGCTTGATAATTGAAAACCATAAGCAACGGAAATAAATATCAAGGTGAGCGTGTGTACAATACTGTGTGTAATTGGTTAATGAAATTCTGAAGCTTGTTGAGGACAAATACTTGATGTGGCCTCTTTGTTCAGTACTCAATCAAAAGGGAAGGTATGGGATTCTTTTTTCCTCACCATATACATGCAGCTCATTTTGTGGCAAGCTGCTAGAAAATCACAAGATGGAAACAAGAACGTCTGTTGTGGAGTGGATAAGGTACACGAAGATTTACAGTCACTTTAGAGCCCTCTGGCTGCTAAGTAGGTTAGCCTCTTGGTTTAGCTGATGACTCTCTCAGATTTTTTTTGGTGTTGGCATTTCAGATTGAGCACTTAATATGAGAGGTCAGAATACGATTCTTAGTTCCTGGAACAAACTGATGTCAGCAAATGGCTTGTTAATTAGAGGATTAGTAGATCCCTTGCCTGTGCATTCAGATCCACCTGTCTGCAAGCTTATAATAAACTACTTTCTTTGTTTCAGTACAAAGGACCACATGTAAAGCCAGGTTTTGCTGAACACTTCTACAGTAATCCTGCAAGATACAAAGGAAGAGAAAATACATTGGTAGTTCTTGAGAATATTTATATATCTTTGCATAGATATTTCTCTCTAAACTTGTCCCTTTTCTTCTAGTACTATGATACCATTGAGGGTGCTCTTGGTGGAGTTCAAGAAGCTCATTTTGATGGACTTATCTTTGTTCACTCTGGTATATATACTGATGAATGGATATATATAGAATCTCCAATCACCATGATTGGTGCAGGTATTTAAACTGAGATACTATGTTTCAAAGTATGACTTGGGTTACTACCTTAATTACAAAGATATTGTCCTGTATTAAATATCCAGTATAAACACCCACCTTTCTTCTTCAGCCTAGTAAATAAGTATTTCTGCACAAGTGTCACTCACTAAAAAGTAGCTGATGCTTCAGACTGTAGTACCATTGCTTGCTTGTTAGTTCTTGGGATAACTTATTTATATTTTTATTTCATTAGGAGGAAAAAATAAAGTTTGTCAGAAAGTATACTCAGTTACATGACTGCAGTTATATTTTCAGGTGGTTCTTATGAAATTTGTTTATATATAACCTATCTCCAGAGTAGAATCCAGCAGTGGGAGCAAGCCCAAATTAGTATCTGTCCCATTTTCTTCAGCATTGTGATTCCATCACGAGGAAGGAAATTACAACATCCAGCAGAAAGTTTCTGAGACTGGAAGTTCTTTCTCTGTTTGTCTCTTAACTGTTCCTCTAAAGGAGAACCATTGTGGAAAAGGAAATAAGACCTTCAGGGTAGGAAAGGTTTAGGAAGTTAATATAATGCACCTGGCTGCAAATTGTAGTGCTTGTGGAGCTGTTTGGTTTTCATGTCCCTACTGTGAGCGTGATAATCCCTGGTAGCACAATTGTGTGGTAAGAATTTAGACTGTCTTAAGGGCTGATGGAGGGCTTGCTTAAGAGGTCTTGGACCTCTTGCTTCTATCTTGGACCTCTTGCTTCTGTGGTGACCCAGAACTGAATTGCCTGCTGCCTGCTTTTTCGGAGATACTATCTGTCTAGGTGTGGTTTTTGTTTGATTGGCTCATTTTTACTGTTTTTGTGGGTGTTGGGTTTTTTATCATTTGGTTTGTTTTGTTGTTTTGGTTTGGTTTTCTTTAAAAAAAAAGTCTCTCTTTCAGGTTTCTGTTTGTTCTGCATATGGACTGTTTTGTTCTTGAGTGAGCCTATTCTGGCACTTCTTGCCTGGGTTTTGAAGCCTTGGCACTAAGAATGGTTTTGAGCAGTGCAGTCAGATTGTTCCAGTGTGAGTCTTGAAACTTGTCCCTGCAGATCTGCAAGATGCAGCTGCATTAGTGTGGTAGTTTGTCAGTTCGTGACTACGCTTCTGAAACTAACATCCTGAAGATCCCCACTTACAGTGCTTTGGTTTGTGTGGTGGAGAGGTTTTGGAGCACAAACTGGATTCCTTTTGGATGAGACTAAGGGATGCGTTCCTGGAATACTCTTATTGCACTCCAATAGTCAGTATGCACTCAGTCAGAGGGACTAGGCTAGGACTAGTCCAAATTCAGTCATTTTACCGTCCCTGTCCTGCAAGGTATGTGGTGCGGATGTCTGATCCTCAGCAGTGTTTCACTCTGCAGTGCTACTCCTGTTACACTGCAGTGCTTGCTAAAGGAGACGTGACCTTAGACAAACAACAAAATACCCCCACGTTCTGTTTTGGATAGGGGATGACAGTAACAGATGCCAGTGCTAATAGGGCAAGTCTTATTTGTGAAGTCTTCAAAATCCAGACAAAACTGGATCACACAGTCCTAAGATCTGAAATTTCTCCATTACTTCACAAAACTTGAAACAACATCTTTGATACCTGGTTAAACTTCTGTATGTTCTCTGGCTCCTAAGCTTTGAAAGACCCTCTGCTTTCCCTTCCACTGGAATTAACCTAATGTGAAATATGTTCACAATGATTAGTGTCAATATGAAACAATGAGGCCATACAATGGGACATCGCCCTCTTTGTGAGGATGGCCTTTTGAGTATTTAGATTGTCCTTGTATAATCTGGGTAGTGGAATGGTATGTATATAGTTCGTGTCCTGTTGCCAATTTAATGTTAATTACACAGTGTTAAGTGTGAAAACCTTGGGTGGAAGGTCTGGAAAGTTACTGGAAAGTTAATTATACAATGTTAAGGAAGTGTGAAAAGCTTGTGGGGAGGGTCTGGAAAGTTACTGGAATGTTAATTACACAATGTTACTGGAACTTATTTGCATAGACCCGCCTATTATCATGAATATGTAACACAGAGGGGCAGAACCACCTAGGGACCCCCAGAAACTCCTAGAAAGTGAAGAGAGCATGTGCTGATGGTCATTTACATAGGCCCACCTCTTCATGAATATGTATGGCCGTGAGGGGTAAAAACAGGAAACAGAAAATGTAGCGGGCGTGTGTGTCTTGGTAGAGCAGAGGCTCCGCTCCACATGCCCAGTGCTGTTTGCTTGCCTTTTATTCGCTCAATAAATTGAAAATTTATTTGGCATCCCATTTCGGGACTAAATCATTTATCACACTAAGGTATTCAGAAAAAACAGTTTTCATAACTACAGTTCCTTAAAAGCAAACCATGTGCATTGTCTATTTTTGTAACAAAGTAGCTGTCTTGGGGAACAAAACCTCCAAGAGGGATTCAGACATGCTAGATGTATTTGTATGTCAGTTTCTGGCACTGCTGTCTCTTCACTTCCTCAGACTTTCTCCACTGAATGGTCAGTGACATTGTAGAGGGAGTCAATTTTCATTTGTCTGGAAAAGAAAACAAATTACAGTGAACCACTAAGACTTGGAGAACTACCTCTTCTCTGTAGAGTCTGGCATGCTTTTCAGAATGGTAGGATTAAGGCAGCACCAAATTTCTCCACAGTTCTGCTCAATTTTCTTTAGTAGTTTATTCTGATGACTTCTGAAGAGGCACAACATTATTAGAAAGGCAGCTTTACGTTCCTCGAGCTTTCAAGAAGCTTCTGCTCTCTCATGTAAGCAAAATATTCTTACACAATAATGTCTGGTTTTCTAGCTTTGTCGTTCTGTTTAATTTTGGAGTTATTTATTTCTTTCCTTAAAAAGGAAAGAGTCAGGTTCAGAAGGAAGCCTTTGGAGGTGTTTCTAGTGCTATGGCTTATCTGAACTGTCAAGTGAGAAGCAAGAGAGGTTCTGTAAGGAAATTAATGCGTCTGGTTCAGTGAACAGAAATACCTATGAATTTCTGAAAATAAATCTATTTACCAGGGTTGGGGAGGGAATGTCAGATTACTGCAGGAATACGTACTTTCCGTGGAGTGCTTATCTCACTCAAGACACAAAGTTTCTTGTCTAAAAGAGATGAGTTTCAGGAGTTGTACAGACTTGTGTTGTGATCTGAGAATCTTTGCTGAATATGTGTTTTTCTGTATTTTAGGAGAGATAGCTTTCACTTTTTCCCTTTATTTACCATTTGACTTAAATAATGTGCAAGGAAGTGAAAAAGGGATTATCAAAGGATTTTCCAATCAGGGAAAAAAATTAGTAAAAACAATAACAATATTTATTATAACTTTAAGGGTAGAAAAATCTAAAATGGTAGACTGTCATAATTAGGTATTTTTTTTACTTTTGAGTGCAAGAGAATTTTCACACGCCTGAGCTCTTCTTTAAATACCCGTTCTGCATCTTTGAATTGAAAATTATATTTTAGACTAGTGTAGAGCTGTATTCTTTGCTGTAGATTTTACAGACTGCAAGATCTAACAGGGCCTCTGCATTTTTTTTGTCTGATAGGATTGAACACGGTCACAATTATTTCCTGGAGAATCTAGTTATTTTTCTATTAATGCACTGAAAAGTGAAATAGTTTTAGTCCTTTTGAGGAATAGAATAATTCTGAGGCAACATTGAGTTAATTTTTAATTCTTTAGGCAGTCCCTTATTGTAGGCTTTCTGTTAAATTATTTCTAAATGGTCTCATCTTGGTCCTTAAACTGAGCATGAATTCTGATCCCATGGAACATAACTCCCTTAGACTTCACCAAACAGACTTCTTGGGAGCTATGTTTTGCTGGATTACAGAATTGGTGGCCTTTTTGTTTCTTTTCCCTTTCTTATACTGCTTTCTCTCTTCTAAGGTGGTCTAAACCAAAAGCTGAATTACAGATATTTCTCTGAATAATCCTTTTGCAAAGATTCAATAAGATGTTGCTCATAAGGTGCTTAAAACAAAGGATTGCTCTCACAAAGACAGAGATGCCATGGGCCTGCCTTGGGTTGAGGACGTGTTTAGATGCTGATCTGTGGAGTATTACTTGGGTGTATCCTCCCTTGCTTCTCCCTTTACAATTCATTCAGTGGAGGTGCTTGAGGTAAAGAGCTGAGTGTTTCAGCTGAGAGACTGAAACTAAATTTCCCCTTCAGGCTATAGGACAAGGCTCCTCTGTTTAAAGAAGTTTTTGAATGATGTGATCCTATATTGTTTAACTGTGGCTTTAATCTTATGCTAAACAAATTATATGAAAATATTAATGTAGTTGTTTTCATAGGTGCATCCTCCTTATTTCTCTGTGAACTTTGATGTATGTACATTAACACAAATGGGTTTTGAGACAGCTTTGCTTCCCCCACCCCCTCCAGACTGTATGAATTCATGTACCAAACAGTGATGGAGAAGTAAATTCCTGCTAGAATTCCTCAAGCATCCCCTCTCCCCATGATCCCAGTAATCTCAAGCATCCCCTCTCCCCACGATTCCAGTAAATCGGATGGAAGAAACAGAAAGAGAGGATCAAAACCGTGATGATAAGGGAAGGAACTGCTAATCAAAACGAGTTGAGAGAATGCAAGGCTGCAAGATAAAGGAGACTGCTCGGACCCCTAAAGGACTCTTTAGCTAATTATAATAAGAAACAGGGCTATGCGGGGCTGGGAAATTAATATGAATGAATGTATTGCAAAACTTAATGGATATGCAACATTTCGGGGAATAAATAGAGGGATAGGTTTTGTGGGAAGGGGCGCCTGTTGGTAGAGCAGATGCTCCCCTCGCGCCCAGCGCTGCTTGCTTATTCTCCACCTACGAACAAAATAAAAATTTTTAACCTTTTTTTTTCTAGCCGCGAGAGTGACTTTGTTGATAACAGAAATATTCATTTCATATTTTGCTTTATGCAATACTGTGGCTCAAAATAATGCTGGTGAGGAAGAACTTGCTTCAGTGGCTGACAAGAA